ACTCAAAAATTAGCGCAAAAGATGTGAATGCCATTGAGATGCTAAGTAACCAGGTGAGTACTCTGGTGAACAATGACAGTCAGATTGTTTTGTCTAAACTTGAATGTCATTGCAGGAAATGCTGGACATCAAGGCTGGCCTAGCACAAAAAGACATTGAAAGACTAGAAAATGACGCAAGAGAAGCGAAAAAGGTGTGCGACCAACTGCAAGAACTGTACCAGCAAAGAGACACCATTCTCAGTGAGTACACTTTATTCTTAAGTGGTTCTTGTCTAATGACAACTCTTTCCCTCTTTTCCTAGATCAACTGTTTGACGGCAGTTACGGCAATGAGAAGGAGATGCTACTGGAAAGGGAGGTGGACAGTTTGATGGAGGAGCGACACTACATTGAGATAGCCAAGATGCGCTGGGTCAGCTCAAGTCGACTCATCTCAGAGGCCATCAAGTGCCTGGAAAGTGGGGCTGACAAGTTGCGTCAGTATGAGGGCATCAATGAAAAGTAAGACAGTTTTTCAAACTCTACTCAACGTTACATTCTCATCCCCTTTCTCTCACCAGTAGTCTTGAAGAACGGTACAACTGCATTGTGGCGGCTCGCACCAGTTTCACCACGTACCTGTACAAGGTGAGCGCAGTGCAGGGCACCCTGCTGAACGTCAAACTGCCGCACCTCAAGGAGGAAGACCTGCAGGCGCTGGAGAAGTGCACACGGGAGCTCTTTCTCGACTCCTTTGCCACCGCCAATCGACTAAATCAAACGCTGGAGCTGGTCACTAGCCTGCGCACCAAAACGGTGACGCAGCAGAGTTGGGTGAAAACGGTATGGAAGCAGTTTGCGATTGACTGCCAATCATTAACTAACCTTTCGTTTCACTTTCTTCAGGTGCTGAACAGCACCATCAAGACCGACCTGCTGGAGATCAGGGAGAAGTGCATGAACAAGGGACACGAGTTGCGCTTTGAGCGGGCTCTTCTCATCAAACAGCGTCTGGAGCAAGAGCTGGCGCAACAGAACAGCGGCGACCAGTCTGCGAAGACCTCTGATTCGCCTTTCGATCTGAGAGGCAAGTCATCTTCATAATCCTCCTTGTTGTCCTTATAGCCCCTCATACTGAGAACACCTTTCCCCACTTTAGTAGACAGCGGAGTGGACAGCGAGTTGGGCGTGGACGAGTCCGCCCTCTCGTCCGAGGAGCAGATGGCCCGCATTCTGGCGTCCGGCAAGTACTCGGAGCTATCGGCCAACGGCACGCCACTGCTGCCCGGCGAAGAGCTGGGCCCCATTCCCAGTGATAGTGAAATCTTCGGTACTGTTGTGATGATGGTTGATGTTTTTTTCCCATTGCTCACTTCACTATGTTTTCTTCCATCANCTTATAGCCCCTCATACTGAGAACACCTTTCCCCACTTTAGTAGACAGCGGAGTGGACAGCGAGTTGGGCGTGGACGAGTCCGCCCTCTCGTCCGAGGAGCAGATGGCCCGCATTCTGGCGTCCGGCAAGTACTCGGAGCTATCGGCCAACGGCACGCCACTGCTGCCCGGCGAAGAGCTGGGCCCCATTCCCAGTGATAGTGAAATCTTCGGTACTGTTGTGATGATGGTTGATGTTTTTTTCCCATTGCTCACTTCACTATGTTTTCTTCCATCAACCAGGCAAAATCGTGCAACTGCGCAACAGGCACAACCGTGAGATGGCGGAGTTTGAGCAGAACCAGCGCCTGATTCGCGTTCGCATTGCCCAAGGCCTCAAGGACAAGCTCAATGACCGACGCAGTCGGCGCAGTCGAATGGAGATGCACCGAAGACACCTCGAAGCGCTGCAGGAGTCACCGGCATAGGCAGCTGCTCACCGCCAGTGCCTTACTAGCAGGAAAATGGAAAATTGACACACTACATTTGGTTGTCTGCTGTACATATCACCACATATCTACACCCACTGCGCACACAAATCCAACACCCATCACAATCATGACACACAGATCTCTATCTCTTGTTAAAGCGCACCGATTGCTACTTTTTTAACAATGATAAAAAGAAACTTTATTTGAAGAAGAGAAATACTACGAAACTAAAGATGTTCTTTAATGTGCAAAAAGTGTGCTACAATTTACATGAAAGGTAGTCGATACGCTCAAAGTTGGTGAATTCTTTTTCCTATTTAGTATAAAGGCTAATGAGAGAGAGAGAACGTCGTGTATAAACTCAAAATTTATGAATTGGTAATGGCTACTGGGAGAAAGTGGTTAAAGAGAGAGGAATTCACAAGAGGTTACCTTGGTGGCGGGCAACGGACTAATGAAGGAGAAGTTGGGCGAAGAACTTTATCTGTCAAAGGTGTGTGTAGGTTCATTGAGGCTCTGCGTGGAAAAACATGGCCCGACAACAAATGTAATTAGTAAATTACTTGGATGTGTTGGAAATTTTTGAAAAGTCGTCGTGAATGCAATCAAAAAATTAAAAAGAGTGAAAGAACTGCCAACAGATGCAACGGACTACTCTCAGACTATCGCATCTCGCGAGCATCGTCGAGCACTCAAAATCGTCTGTTCTGGTGCAGGTACGAGCCCGAGTTGGACAGTCCAGTGAGAGGAAGACCTGAATAGTTGGTGTTAGGAAACAGATCCGACACTGAAACTGAACCGCTGGTTATCAACGAAGGGCTAATGGTGCTCTGGGCATGTGTCGAGTCAAACGTACTGCTCCAGCGATCCGTGGAAGAGGCCCACTGGTTTCCACTCCCCGCCGCCACTGGTGCCGACCAGTTTCGCGAGTCAGACGAGGCAAACATGCGCGAGTCAATGCTGATGCCATTGCTGGTGTCCTTATCCGCGTAGCGGCCATGGTCACGTCGCGAGTCTTCGAAGCGATTGTGCTCCCGGGTGTCACGGCGAAACTCTTTTCGGTCATCACGGTCGTGGCTGCTGGTGCTGCTGTTGTGCCTTCGATTGTCCACCGAGCGGCGCTCGGTGTAGTCCGCGCTGCTGTCGGCAAATTTTCCTCGCTTCGAAGAGTTGCGAGATTCCCGGGGCTCGAATCTTTTGATTGATCATGAAAATGAAACAACGAAAAACGTCAGGCATTGGGGCAAAGAGTGAGAGAACACACAGTGTGCAGCAGTGGTATGCTCGCATGCAGGTCATAGTACCTCGAAGATTCGACCACCGGTCTTGCGTGGCTAGAGTGAGATTCGTCTCCGCGACGGCTGCCATGATGCGAGGAGGAGTGAAAGTTGTCCGGACTGCGTCCATGTCCCTCAATCATGGGTCGCTTGACCGCTTGAAACTCCGCCCGCTTGCGCTCCATCTCCAGGTGCTGCCGCTTGCGGGCCAGCTCCTCGCGCTCCTTTTCGATTTTCTGCCGCTCAAAGTGAAGCAACTCCAGCTTCTCCTTCTCCAGTTTGATACGCTCCTGGCGAATGAGCTCCTTCGCGCGTCGAATCTCGAGACGTTCGTGTTGAATGCGTTCGTACTCTTCGCGTTTGCGATTCTCCTGGAAACGGTCAAATCGGCCACGAGGATGCATTGGCGGACGCATGGCAATGGGTGGGCGACGAGGGTTGAAGCGTCTGAAAACAGGCGAGCGAGATCGTGAACGAGAAACGGATCGGTCCACTTTTCCTTTTGGACGACTTTTTGGCTTTTCCTGCTGTTTCGGCTTAGGTTTCGGTTTCGGCTTCTGCTTAGGCTTTTCCTTCTCTTTCTCAGCCGTTTCCTTCTCTTTAGGCTTACTGTCCTTAGCTTTGCTGTCCTTAGTCTTTGAATCTTTGTTTTCTTTGTCTGTCTTTTTCACGTCCTTTTTGGCAGACGACGAATCCTTAGAGCTCTTTGAAGCATCTTTGCTAGTAGTTCCTTTGCTTTCCGTAGTTTTAGTCGATGAAGTTGTTTTGCTTTTCTGACTTTTGGTCTCCCCTTTTGAAGTGGACTCCTTTTTAGTGGACACGCTCTTTGATTCATCTTTTGATGATTTCGACTTTTCAGAAACCTCCTCGGTTTGTTTGCCATTTTCCGCTTTGCTAGAAGAGCTTTTGCTTGGCGATTTAAGCGGAGAGTTCTAAATGAAACACAAAAGTGCGCAAATCAAGAAAAGAAGGTTCAGTTAAGGAGACATGGGTCAAGGGGCAACGAATACCACGAGCAACGATCCACTCACTTGAGAAAGAGTAATAACGTTATCCTTCAGACGGGTATTTTTGTCCATTGTTTGAATGCACTTCTGCACTAGAGACATGCTCTCAAAGGTGACCAGACCAAAGCATTGTTTGGGAATTTTGGCAAAACGAATGATCTTTGCATCTAGAATTTTCGAGTGCTTAGAAAATAAATCTTGCAAATCCGAAGCCTTGGTGTCTTCATTGATGCCGCTGACGTAGAGCTTGTACTCGGTGGTAGGCTCAGCTTTCACTTTGGGACAATGTATTGTACGGCACAAAATTGTAGCATGATAAAATTGCATAAATGAATTTACGAATAGTTACCTTCGTTTGACTTTGCCTTATCTTTTGAGGCCTTTGTCTCAGATGAAGAAGCAGCAGTAGAGCTGTAGATCAGAGGGAAAAGTATTAGAGAGGTCAGATCTCTAGGCAAATGCGATGGCTGTAGAAAGGATGGTTTGGCAGACTGGCGCTTTCTCGGAAAAGAGAGGAAAAACAGATGACAAACCTCTTGCTTTTGTTACTGGTCCCGTTAGAGCTGCTCTCCTTTTTGGAGCTGCTAGCCGGCTGCGACTTTCCCTTCGATTTTGATGATGGCGGCTTTTTCTCAGCTGCACTTTTAGAAGACGACTTGTCTTTCTCGTTCACACCATTAGCGACTTCCTCGCTGTTTTTGCCTTTGGCTGATTTAGAGTTCGATTCAGGTGTTTCAGCGGTTTTAGAGCTGGAGACAGATGAGTTGTTGTTGTTGTTGTTGTTGTTGGTTGTAGATGAAATTGCTAATTGTCAAATTAGGAAAGCGGTCGGTTAGCGAGATTTCAAGAAAATCAAGTCAATGGGTCAATCTAGTTGATGAGATGTGAGTTTCCATGGCCCAATCACAGTTCGGCAGAGTCTGTTTCACGTTGCAGCTCGACTTTCCATCCGCGTCACCACTTGCTGCAGCTTACTGCTAAAAAGTATCCTGGCGGTGGTTCGATTTGACCGATAACGTCTCAAACGGCAGAAATGCAGTACAAATAATTATTCTTCCCTTGAATTAGCATGTCTTGGTAGTGGAATGTCCAAATCACAACCTCATACAGATCTTAGCTTCTACTTATGCAGGTCATACCATTTGACAAGGATCATTAAGAGATCCCACATTTGACAAGTTTATAACACGTTATCATTGTACAAAACACAAAAGAGAATCTTACACCGTTAATGCCGACTTACCTTTCTCACAATCATCAACAACTTCAGCTTCGTCTTCAGTTTCCTGGTGGTTCAAATAGAAATGTTACGTCAGCTTTGTAAACAAAATCTATACATACCTCAACACCGCCATCGTCCTTCAGTTCATCATCCACGGCGTAGTCCAGAGAGAGGATAATTTCTGAGCCTTCCATTTCTTTAGCAGTATATATTAGGAATGAAGTGAATGAAGAATCCGAATCTGAATGTTTTGACTCGTCTGAAATAGAAATGATTTCAGAGGAGAGAAAGATGGAAAAATGCGAAGGAGAAAATATTTTTTTCTCAAAGTCCAACTTGGCTCAGACGCCGTTCATAGAGCAAGTGCCCCTGGTGGAGGCGGGGCAACTGCAGCCCGCACGTGTCTGTGCTTGTTTTGCTTTTTTGAAGTCCCAAGTTTAGGCGAACCAGTTTAAACTTTTCCCGATTATTTCACCTTCACGCCCTCCATCATCATGGCCTCAATACACTTGGAACGGTTCAATGTGAAGGAGTGCACCCAATGGATCACCTCAAATGGCTTTCACACCATCTGTCTCTACTTTTTGCCGCAATTTTACTGTGTTGCTAGTGAAATTGCCACCGTGCTGAAGCAACAGTGCAATGACAGTCATTTTCTGGTGATGATCTCGGGCAGCAGTGGTGTTGACACGGTCAAGTATAGGACGAAAGACCCAAAGAGTTCACCTGATGCTGTCATTTACTTTGGCGCCTCCTGCCTGTGCACTGCCAAGTACTCCTCGGCCTTACCGATTTTGTTTGTTCCACTTGAGCCAGGTAATTTGACTAGGAAGGGTTTCATTTGAGCAAGTCTAATTGTGTGTCTTTTCATTTACAGATACAAGTGAACTGAAGTACATTTCCGAGTGTTTGAAGGAGTTTAGCAGTGAAAAGAGAATACTTCTTGTCGCTGATTTAACAAACTCGTGGCTTCTACTCGAAGAAAATCTAAGCAGTTTGTTTGCGACCAGTTCTTGTACACCCGAAATTTGTCGGTTAAGAAGACCCGATGCGAGTAACTGGCACTTTTCCAGTACCTGTACCTTTGAAGCTGCTGACAAAACTAAATCAAACTGCCTCTATGTCCCATATTCAATTCCAAACTCTCTGGCAGAGTACGACCTAGTACTCTTTGTGGGCGAGTGCAAAAATCTTGAATTTGTGCTCAACTGCAGAAAGTTGGTCGTTGTCAACCCTCAGAAAAGGTCTCGAGAGATATTTGATGGGCCAAAGGAGTTTCGAAAGCGCAGTTCTCTCATTGAAAAGTTCAAAAGTCAGTCAGGAAAGCAGGTTGGAGTTGTCTTTGTCAACTATACCCAATCAGTGACGCCGATCATGAGTTCAGCAAAGACATTCTGCAAACGACAAAAGAAGCTGCCGTACTTTCTCTCACTAAACCAAAACGACTATGAACTTCGACTGGGGAACTTTGGCCAGCTGGAAAGCTTCGTTCTAGTCAACTCGTGTGATTGCACGGCCGAAGTGGCGCAGGCCACTGCCAAGTACATCTACCCAATTATATTCTGGAAGGAATTCCTGATCGCCTGCTCCCAGCGAATCTCATACGGCGGCATCATCTGGAACGAGGACGCCACCGAAGAGGCGGGAGGTGATGAGGACGATGAGGGGGAAGAGGACCGAGACGAGGAGAGCATGAAGCTGGTGGAGCGAGATCTCTTCAAGCGCCCCGACGGCTGGTTCGGCCTCGTCGTGGACGCCGGCTCCGAGCCGGTTAGCCAGATCAAAGAGGGCCTTCGCGGCATTCCATCTGGGTACACCAACGAGGAAGAGCTCTTTTGATTGCAGGAATTTCAATAAAGGAACAAAGAAAAAAGAGTCGTCCTTGAGTTCGAAGTCTGGGCGGCAGTGATTGCAATCGATGCTGCTACCCCTGACGCAGCCACAGTGTGTTTAGGCGTGCCACTGCAGCTAGCAGCAACGCCGCTGCCTCTGCCGCTGCTGACGAGTGAGGCAATAATGTAAGTGCGTTCACATCAACTGTAGTGAAGGCATTGTGACTGCTGCTGCTGCATCCACTTGCTCAATTTGACTCGTCGTCGATTGTCGC